CTCTCTCTCTCTCTCTCTCTCTCTCTCTCTCTCTCTCTCTCTCCTCTCTCTCTCTCTCCTTACACAGAGTCGAGTCAAAATGATGCCGATGATCCATGGGAACCAGGAATGGAGCTGGAAGGAGGTGTGGAGGCTTTCTACTGTGGTGCGAGCTGGGGGAACAGAGTGGCAGACACTTCTCAATCTAAAGCCCAAGACTCTTCAAGCCCGTGTTGTCCACCATGCCTTCCCTAGAAGCTGGACAAGGCAAGAACCACAAACAAGAGTGACTTCTTCCTTAGGGTTTCCTGAGGGGAAATCTTTGAATTTAGCCCAGAGGGACCCATTTCAGGCTTCGGAGCCTCCTACCTGCAAGATGATGTATGTAACAAGTGAATTTAGTTATAAAATGATACACTGTCTGAGGTAGTTTATAACACCAGCAGGAGAAAACTTATCCCGGATGGAGGTGTTCTTGGAGGCAGAGTTTTGTTCGCCACAGCTGGGGGTGGCTTAGGACTCGCTATATGATGTAGGCTTGCCTTGAACTCATGCGGATCCCCCTGTCTCAACCACAGCTTTAAAACTACAGAGGAAACACTCACTGCTCCCTCTTCCGGGTTAGTTGAATATCTATGTGTGGGGAGCTATTTCAGGTCCTGGGGGAGACAGAATTGAGTCAGAACAAATCTTGAGCTCTAGCTTCCCAAGGATCTGGGGAAGGAGCAGAGCATTTTTAAAAACAACCACAACTTCTAGGGTTTGCCTCATGTCCCAGCCTTGTGGCCCTCTTCTCTCTGGCATCAGTGATAGCTTGCCAGGTCCCTCCCCCATTTCACCATTCTGACACCATTTGACCCCCCTCTTCCATCTTTTAAACATCCTTGAAATACCACGGGGACCACCCGAGATATCCAGCATCATCTCCCTGCCTTAAGATCAGATGATTTGCAACTCTAATTCCATTTCCCCCCATAACATAGATCCAAGGATTAAACTGAGGACATCTTTGGAAAACGTGGTATTCAGTTCAACACAACGTCCAGTGATTTTCCTTTAGGGTCCTGCTTATTTAAAACATTGCATTCTAGTATCTGTTGAGCTCCTGCTGTGTCAGGTGCCAGGCGCTGGGAAGTCAAACACACACAATACACGGACAGTAGCAGATCAGAAAGCACCAGCAGAGCAGTTTGACAACAATCTAATATAGGTGATAGAGGGGACTGTGGGGGACAGAGAAGAAGCATCAGACAGAGACCATAGAAGCAGACGGCACCTGGCCTGAGTACACTGGCTTCCCAAGACCTTTGGGAGTATCTCTTGGAACCCTCAGGGGTGATGCCACTGAGAGCTGGTACCTGTAAGAGTGACCGCCTGGGAAGTCTTAGGATCACTGGAGATGTGCCTCCATAGACATTATAGGACCCTGAGCCCTGTTCCTCTTCTCTTCTGCCCTCTGCTTCCTGGATCCCGATGGGGTGAGTCGTTTGGCTCCACCACGGGCTCCTGTGTGGTGTGTTACCACAAACAATGGTTTGGTTGATCATAGACTGGAAATTCAAAATCATCGAGCCCAGTCATACCTTTTCTGTCTCTAATTTGATTATCTGAGATATTTGTTATAGCAGCAGAAAGCTACCACACACATGTGGCTTCCTTCCTTCTGGGGACCATGAGTGTTTGGCTTTCTCTCAATGAGCAGTGTTCTCTATGTGTACTGCCACCGTCCTGGGCTGCCACCTCCTGTTGACTACGGCTGATTCGAGGTCCTCAAAGGTGACTTTGTAGCATCAATTCCCGAATCACACCAGGGTCTGGCCTTGATTACCTCCCTGCTTTAGGCTTCTTTTCCCTGGAGCTATCTTCATTAAAGTCCTAATTAGGACAGCACCAATGAACTGGAAATGCGTTTCCATAAAGTGATCGCTCGTCTCAGCAGATTCTTCGCTCCCTTGAAGGCAGCAGCTGTGGCGTGATGGCAGGAGGGAGGGTTTGAATCCGAAGATCTGGCTCTGACGCCAACCTCTGCCACTTAATCTGACCTTGGGGGAGTTACCGTAATTCCCAGTCTTGATTATAATTATGGAATGGGGGCTGTAGTAATCAGTATGAGCTAACTGCTGTAACCAAATTTTAGACTTCTAATGTTACAAAAGCTTTTATCTTGCCCATATAACAGTATGACTTGGGTGTGCCTGATCACATAGCTCTTCTAGTCTATTCTTTTTCCACTGAGATTTGGGGACTCAGGATCCTTCCATCTTAGTTGCCCAGAGTCTCTCTCCTTGGCTAAAAGGAGGGAGAAGGTTAAAGTTTTAGTAGTTTTGTGAGCCAGGTCAGGATGTGGCCTACAGTTCACTGGGCAGAACTCAGGAACATGCTATGCCTAATTAGGAGCAAGGGTATCTGGGAAATGCAGTCCAGCTGTGTGTGGGAAATTGTTTGTAGAACTACAATGTCCTGTGAGGATAAACTTGTTTCTGGAATTAGATGAGATAAATAGATGCCTGTGCTCAGACAGGCCCAGTGTGTGTGTGTGTGTGTGTGTGTGTGTGTGAGAGAGAGAGAGAGAGAGAGAGAGAGAGAGAGAGAGAGAGAGAGAGAGAGAGAGAGACTGTCTCATAGAATAACACACCCTTGAGAAAGGAAATGTAAATTAAGGGCTGAGGGAGGAGGCCTGCTTAATGTTTTCTTTTAGAGCATAGTGTATCAGGGAAAAATAGTAAGAAACAGACCATTATCATCTATAACAAATACTCCACGAGGAAACATAACCCATTAGCCCTGGGCACCCTCAGAAAGAGCTCTCTGACACAGGGACCCTGAGCTGGGCCTGTAGAGCCCAGGGCCCCTTTTATCTGTTTCCACTGTGTTGTGGCTACTAATTGCTTTCTCCATCTCCAGCACCACCTCACACACATGCTAATTCCTCTCTCTGAGGATTATCATGGGAGCCAAATCAACACTGATAGAGGGTGTGGGATGGATTAGACCCGACAAGATAATTCAGAGGAATAAATAGGGCACCATAGGCCAGATAAAGGAGAATTAAATGCAATCTGGCCAAGAGAAATATCCACATTAATTGAAATGCGTGTACAATGAGTGTGCAAATGAGTTGAATAGAGAGACTAGTTACGCCAGTGATTTGTGATCCAGTTCTACTTTGCCCACCTCAAGTGTGAGGGACCTTCTGTGCCATCCCCCTTCACATCCTCTCCCTCCCTCCCTCCCTCCCTCCCTCCCTCTTTCCCTCCCTTCCTCCCTCTCTCAGCATGATGGGATCATAAGCAGGAATGGAAGAAAGTCTGTCTCCCTTCCTGACTGATTCAGGCTGACGATTGTGTTTGACTACGTATTTCTTTTTTAAAGATATAATAAGCATATTATGTCGCCTCCCTTTCACCAGCTCAGTCCCTACCTTGGAAAAAGCAGTGGGAAGAAACTATCAACCAATGTGAGCTGCTTCTAGGGATGTCCTGAGGGACACATTCATCTCCATTACGTGTCCAGCTGTTGAGAGCTGCGGCAGGCTTCCTGAGGAGCTCCGCAATTGTGGGGAAGGGCTGGCAGGGAGCAGCTCTGAAGGTGATCTTAGAAGCACGCCCCTCTCTGAAGATGTCCACGGGGTTATTAGGAGAGAGCAACCCACCCCCCACAACATGTTAAGGCTCAAGGCAAGCTGCAAAGAGTGAGGAGTAGGAGTCATTTGAAAGAAGATACAGGACAGACAAAATAGAAATAATGATTGTGGCTGAGGGCTCTGAGCTTTTACCTTGCCAGGAGTTATTTCTGCTTTGCCCAGGGAGGAAGCCACAAGAGTCCTTTGAAGTGAGTGCTAACTTGGACATGAAGAGGTGGGTAGGAGGGGAGGGCTGCGGCTGGGGCTTGGCTTGAGTGATAGAAGAAAAGCAGAGGGGGAGAAATGAGGAAGAAGGGGGCAAGCCAGTGCGGGCAGAAATACAGAAGTCAGAATCCCTGTACTAGATCCGCTTAGGTCTGTGTTTTCAGAAGGAAGAGATGCAGAGACCCGTAAAGGGACTTGTCACTGTTGGGGTGAAGGGGACATCTTGGCTTTGTCTAATCATGCTTTTCTTTGTGGAAAATTCCAACAGGGATCTCCCAGAAAGGAGTTGCAAGGCATGATTGTTAAAAACTGAGGCTAGAATTCCAGCTTTCCTAGCTGGGGGACCTGGTGGAACTTCACTACCTCCAACCCTGAAGCCTGGAAACTAGTGGAAATTCGGGGAATAATGCATGTGTCTGGCATATTATCAGATGTAACTGATATAAAAAAAATGCTTAGTTTGTCAGAGAGAGGACTGGATAGGTGGGAAGGCACCCCAAAGGGGCCAGTGGAGTCCTGGTGCAAACAAACATCTCTTGTCACTGGGATTTTAGCCTTGCTAATGAAAGAATTCAGATGAGACACAAAGAGCACAGTGTTGAAGGTGGGTGGAGCTTATTTCAGAGCAGAACTGAGCACACTCCCCTTGGTGACATGGAAAATGGCAAAGGGCTCACTGTGCCGCTCTATATGTGAGGCATGCCTCATACTTTCTCTAGTCTCCAGAACAAGCAGCTTTTCCTGAAGGGCTTTGTGTCGTCGGTTCAGGTCATTGACAGGCCTATCTGGACCGGCTGATACTGGTGCATGCAGTGATGGTATGTAAAGCCTCCTGCTAGACGGTAATCCTCTAAGGTTTACTTAGGGTTTCTAGATAGTTCTCTAGTAATGACCTGGGCAGGTCAGGATGGCATGTCTCCATCCAGGGCCAGGGATCTGACTCTTGGCCCGTTCCTTTGACTGGTAATTCAAGTCACATGGTTCCGGGAGTTGCAGGCTGTTGATTTCAGAAGAGGGGTTCAGCCTGTGTCCTTAAAGACCACTAAGGTTGAACTGGAGACCTCAGCAGGGGGAAGAGGTAGGTTCTGGTCACTGTGTTGTCACGGTTTGAATATGACGTTTGGGACTCGGGTACCATTTAGAGAATTATTTTGAGGGGTGATGGGGGAGATGACTCAGTGGATAAGACACTCGCCGCATAAACCAGGCAAACTGAATTCAACCCCTTGAGTCCATGGAAGGAATAAACTGACTCTACAAGGTTGTCCTCTGACTTCCACATGTGTGTGGATGTGCATCCACACATATACAGCACACACACACACACACACACACACACACACACGATAATAAATGAATTTTAAAATGTTGTGTGTCTATGTAAGCCATGTGGTAAGGGTGTATGTCTGTGTACATGTGCAGCTGCCAGAGGAGGCTACTCAGTGTCCAGCTGCACGGCTCTCCACCTTATTCTCTTCAGAGAGAGTCTCTCACTGAACCTGGAGCTAGGCTGGCAGTCAGCAACCCCAGTGATCCTCCATCTCCTACCCCCCCCCCCCAGCACTGGAATTCAAGGTGCACCCAAAGTCACACCTGGCTTCCTAATTAATTCTGGAGATTTGAACTCAGGTTCTCATGCCTGCACAGCAAATATTCTTACCTGATGAGTCATCACCTGAGTCCTCATTTGTGTGTGTGTGTGTGTGTGTGTGTGTGTGTGTGTGTGTGTGTGTGTGCTTGCACATATGCATTTTGTGGGTACATGTTCACGTGAATATTTGTGCATGTGGAGATCAAAGGACAACTCCAGTCTTTGACCCTCATGTGCCAATCTCTTTCACTGACCCAGAGCTAGACAGGCAGGCTAGATTGTCTCGTCAGCAGATCCTAGGGCTATGCTTGGCTCCTCCCCCACGGGGCTGAGATTACCATCAGATGCCCTCACATCCAACTTTTTTTTTTTTTTTTTTTTTTTTTTAAATGTGGAGTCTGAGGATGGAACTCAGGACATCATGCTTGCTAGGCAAGTGCTCCACCAGCTGAGCTGTCACCTCAGCCCCCTCAGGCTCCATTCTAAACTACTGACCCGTCTAACCAGCTGAGCTGCAGCCTCAGCCCCCTCAGGCTCCATTCTAAACTAGTGACCCGTCTAACCAGCTGAGCTCTTGCGGAGTTCTCACAGGAGGTCTGAGGCGAACCCAAGAGCAGCTCTCAAGAGAGGGCAGCTTCAAGATGTTCCAGAACCACTAGATAGGTGGTGATTTCCTCTCAAGGATGGGTGGTCTATAGAGGTCAGAGACTAGAGTGACCCAGGAGCTAGGAAATTTCCAGAAAGAGAAGAGGAGGTGGAGAGAAGGCAGTGAGTAGGAAAGGAAGGACTGAGCAACCTTCAGACAACCTGGGGTGGGGGTGGGGCTGAATTATCTGTTTCCACAGGTCAGGTGATGACCAGGGGTGATGGTGAAGGCAAGGAAGTCTTAGAGACTGCTATTGGGTCTGAAGAACATACCAGTTGAAGGTGTAAAATAATGCTGATGGTAAATAACATTTGTGGAGCTAATTATCATTCATTTATTCAATAAATACAGCGTGCCTGATAAATGCCAAGCAGACTTTGGTGCTGAGAACAGATATGTCAGTGAACAAAACAGAAAAGGATCCCGCTCCCATGGAGCTTATGGATAAGCAGAAAGAAAGATTTTTAAAAAACAAACCGTGTGTGTGCATGTTCATATTTGTGAGTGCAGGCGTCCACGTGCTGCTTCAAGCATGTGGGGTCAGAGGGCGACCTAGAGTATCAGTCCTTGCCTTCTGCCTTTATACGAGACAATATCTCTGCTGTTCACTGTGTGTGCATCAGGACAGCCGGCCCTGGAACTTCCAGGGATCTTCCTGTGGTCATTTCCCATCTCACAGCAGGATGCTGGGATTTTAGATGCATGCTACTGAACCTATTGTTTGTTGTTTGTTTGTTTGTTTAACATCAGTTCTGAGGATTCTAAGTCCGATCCCTATGCTTATGTAGCAAGTGTATTGCCCACAGAGTCATCCTCCAGTCCAGAAAAAGAGTTGTTAAAATAAATATATTTATGATGAGGTAGGTATCTATGTCTGGATCACACCTCACACTGTATCCAAAAATGGATTCTAAATGTACCAAGAATCTGAGTGTAAGAGCGACTATGGACATCTTAGATACATTGAGCCTGATAGTTCACACCCATAATTGCAACACTCGGGAGGTAGAAGCAGAAGAATTCCTGGTTCAAAGCCAGCCTGGGCTACTTAGTGAGATCATGGCTCAAAAAAAGCAAGTGAGAACAAATGAAACAAAAACTCTTAGAAGAAAACATAGGTTTTGGACCTGGGACTCAGCAGTAGATTCATAGCTATGACACAAAATGCCCCAATATGAGAAGAAAAATAAGACAGACCCAGTTGACTACATCAAGTGAAAAGCATTTATGCTTCATGTGTGCTACCAAGTGAAAAGGCAGCTCATTTTTTTTCTGTAAATCTAAAATTTCTATAAAAGTGTATTAATTGACAAGACTGCCCACAAAATGCAGGAAAATACTGCAATTATATGTCTGTTTAGGGCTTGTATTTAGACGATATAAATAATTTCTCTAAAATGGGCAAATGATGGAAATAGACATTTCTCAAAGGAAGATATACAAATGGCTAATAAGCATGTGAAAAGATGCTCAATGTCATTAACCCCCCAGAGAGATGCCAATCAAAACCACACGGAGGTACCACATTGCACTCACTAGCATGTGATGATTCTCGGAGCAGAAAATAGCAATGGTGGGGATGTGAGATGGTCCAACCACCCTGACAAACAATTCCTAGCAGTTCCTGAAAAGCCAGGCGGAAGCTTACCACCTAACCCAGAAATTCTATTCTTAGGTGTGACTCTAAGGAGAAATGGGAACATGTCCTCATAAAAATATGTGTGTGAATACCGCATGATGCAACTGCAAGTGGAATTATTCACGATGGCCAACTATAGATATAACCTTATTCCTCACTGAGGGATGAATGGATAAAGAAAAAGCAATGGAGTGTTTTCTGTCCACCAAGAGGAATGAAGTAATGATACATGCTACAGAATCAGCAGACCTTGAGGGAAACCAGTTATAATGTTATAGTATTAATGTGCTTCCCAGTGAGAAATAACTCCAAGCACTTAGAGATTAATAAAGGATAAATAGCGCACAATTGGTTCTGGTTAGTGTGCAAAAGGGAACCAGCCCTGCACAGAAATCCCCATCAGCCTGTATAGTTTCATTGCCCCACTTTACACTTCAAGCAATTAAACATGTTTCTCAGAGACAGAAATTCCAAGGCGTTGGACTTGAAATGGGGAGATTTACAATGTAAAAACATTGTCATAGTTCTCCATAGTTGACATAGACTACTTTTCCCAGGCTGCTGTTAACTAGGGTCATCCTGCCTATAAGGCAGAATTGTGTTCTTCCTGATAAGAGAACCTAGGAGTGCTCATTTGGCTAAAATCTACTTTGTGTGACTTCTGATTTCCTAAGCAACTTTAGTGGGTCCTTTATGATGTCAATTTATCACTCCCAGTTTCTCCTATGTCAACAATAGACCCTCTATCACATGGCTCCATTTGTACGAAACATCCAGAATGAGCAACTACACAGAAATGGAGGAGTATTGCTTGGGGCTGGTGGGAGGTGGCAAGTGAGCCTTGGGATTGACAGCTGAAGGTGTGTGTTTTGGTGGTGATAAAAATGATCTTAGCTTGACAGTAATGGTTGAATAGCCCCAGGCAGACACTAAAACCCATTGAACCACACTCACTTGAAGTGGGCAGATTGTGTGACATGTGAGTTACATATCAACAAAGCTCTTAAAAATTAGCCAGGCGTGGTGGCTCATGCATGTAACGCCAACATTTGGGAGGCTGAGACAGGAGGATTGTCATGAATTACAGATAGTTTGCGGCAGGTAGTGATAAATAAGATGAAGAATTAATAGATAGGGCTATTGAGAGAATAGCCAAAGAGGATCTTTCCACAGAGATGGTGTTTAAGTGGAAACCAAGAAGAAGGGAGGGTGTGAGCACTATGAATACAGCTGCACACCACACAGTGACACCTTGGTTAACAACACACTTGGTAAGTAACCACAGTCCTGTAAGACGATGGCAGAACTGAGATAGCCCAGTTGCCCAGCTGCTTGCTGTCGGGCTGGAACATAATGCATTACTCACATGTCTGTAGGGATGCTGGTGTGAAACTGCCTGAGCTGGGGAGAGTGTGAAAGGGAAGTGCATCCTGCGGTGCCTAGAGCATAATCCATGACGATGCTAAATGGGTGTGTGAGTGGCTTTTGTCTGTACTGTCCTTGACATTTACCAGAGTGGGGTCCTTCTACTGATCAAACACAGTCACTGGAGCTGGCTCAGCTGGTAGGGTGCTTGCCACAAACTACAAGGACCTGAGTTTGATGCCCAGAGCCCCTGGAAAGAATCCAGGGGTGGTGTATGGCTGTAATTCTAGTGCCAGGGAGGTGGAAACAGGCGGACCCCTGGGGCCTGATGGCCCATCAGTCTTGCCTAATCGTACCTAGGTCCCACTGAAAAACCCTGTCTCAAAGCAAAGGCTAAAACAGAACCCAAGGCGGGAGAACATAGCTCATTGAGTAAGAGTGCTTGCTCTGCAATTCTGCGGGCCCTGAGTTTGACTCCCCAGAACTCAGGTAAAAGGCGGACATGTAGTGTGAGCACCTGTAACCCCAGCACTCCTGCAGAGAGACTTGAGGTTAAGATAGGAAAAAGCCCTGTAGT